ACACTGTTCCCCATGTTATCTTCCAGAGGAAAACGGGGCACCTTCTAACTCTTTCTGTGACTCGAGAATGACCTCAATACCAAAAACCAGACAAGATACTACAAGCAATGAAAATTACAAGCCGAATCATTAAAAAACACAGATGCAAAAATTCTATTAAAAATATTAGAAATCAAGCATATATTGATATGGTAATAATACATTATTGCATGACTATAAGGATAAAATGTGGATTTTTCACCTTACTAAATGATTAAAAAGAGAAAAATATGATCATCTTACTTTATACACAGAGCATTCAATAAAATACAACACAGAGACACGATTTTTTAAGACTCTGAAGAAACTAGAAATAAAAGGAACTTCTTTAACCTGGTATGAGGCTACTTCCCAGAAACACTAAAAGCATTCTTGTTAAGGTCAGGAAAAAGACAAGAATGTCTGCTACTGTGAATCTCACTCTATACTGTACTGCAGAGCCCAGCATTACAAAGCAAGACAGAGAAATAAATGTGACAAAGATTGGAACAGAAGCAACAAAACTGTCATTATTTGCACATTATTATCTACTTTACTATGATAAAACTTTACTGACAGACATTAAAGGAGATCCTTAGAAATGGAGGCATATATTATTTTCATGGAAGAGGAGACTCAATATTTTAAGTGTTAATTGTCCCCAAATTGAATTCAATAAAATGATGGTGAAGAGAATTGTCCTATCAGATACCAAGACCTACTGTAAAGCTACAGTAATTAACACAGTGTGATTTAGTGCTGAGACAGAAAGACGCCCTCACATACGGGAACCTAAACATAGCCCGAAGGGACACTGCAGATCAGAGGGAGGAAGGATGGTCTACTCACTAACTAGCACTCACAAAACTAGTTATAGATACTTCTAAAACATTAAATTTGATCTCTTCCTCACAACATAAACAAAAATCAATTTCTGATGTATAAATTAAGGCATTAAATACTAAAGGTAATTTTAAAAGATTTAGAAAAAATGTAGAATATTTTTATGATCTCAGAATAGAGAAGTATTTCTTAAATAAAATGAGGTTAAAATCACAAATTTTAAAAACTGATAAACTGAAATTCATGAATATTAACAATATTTTAATCCATGAAATGATCCCTGAGAGAAAATAAAGAGCCACAAACTCGAAAAAACGTTACACATAAACTGACAAAGGATTAGTTTCTTGAATACATAACAAAAAAATCATCTAGAAAATGTCGTAATAGTGAGATTCCATTATCACAAAATAAAGCTAACAGCATAAAAATATTGGCCAAAGCTGATCATATTCTCCCGTGTTTAAGATACAGATCATGGGAACCTACTTTCTGCCATCAAAATATCAAGTATGCTTTTACGATTTATAAACTCCACAACCAATAAGCTATGACGTTCAGTTGAGCATGATCAGCAACTTGTGAACAGAAGACTCCCAACTTTTTGAAGAAAAAATCTCAAGCAGCTTCTACTTTCTGGCAAGGTTATATTCCACACACAACTCACAGAGGGAGGGGAAGGGAGAGGAGGGCTGGGGAAGGCAGAGGCGGGCAGTGCAGTGCCAGCTGTGGGTAGCTGCTCATTTCCATAGTGAAGAGTCAACCGGAGATGTTCCTGAGACTTTAATTATTGGTATCAAAAGTTAGACACTGGTGTTGAAATTCTCCTACTTCTTTTTCCTCCACTATTCCTTTGAAAAGAGGATCACACTCCAATCTTCCCTGTCATGTGGTCCAGGTATTTCCAGGCTGCAGAAGAAAGTGCTCTTTTCTGATTTGGGGTACCAGAAAAAAAGCTTTTACCTCCTGGGTGCATTCTCTAGCTAAAATTTCTAGCTAGTTAACACAGCAAAGTGATTGTGATGTATATGCTCTCTAAATAACAGACTGAATCTGTTTAAATGGGCTGTGACTAGAATTTCAAATCACTCTAGAAAGACAATTTCTTCACTGAAATCCATCTACCTTGATTCACTTTCAGATTTCACGGTAATTTTTTAGCATCTGCAGTATTTCAAAATTTTATGGCATAGCTTTATCAGTGAACAAGAAATGAAGTATCAGATGTTATTAAAACCCCCTAACACAGTCAGGGAGAATGAAGAAGGGCACCAGAGTACAAATCAACATAATGATTTTTTTATTTCATTCATTTAAATGAAATGTCTTTCTCTAATGGGAGAGACACTGTCAATGTTAAAACCTGCATTTACAGAGCTTTCATTTTTTTACTCTATAATTACTTAGCATGGTACCTTTACAATAGATGTGCAGAGTGAGTTTATAAAAATATTGAGACAGATACGGAAAGGTTAAGTGCAGTGCCCAAGACAGTTAAAACAGCAGGTAGGTGCTCTGCGGAAACACTCACCCGCGTCCTATATTTAGCTCCACCACATTATGTAATAGCTGTGTGATCTTGGACAGATTACTAAGCTTCCCTGAGCCTCAATTTCCTCCTGGATAAAACACTGATACCAGCACTAACTCACTGTTGAGAGGATTAGAGGTAGGGATAAATAACCAAAGCATACAAGGCATTTTTATAGTATGATTCCTAACATAGAGTGATTACAGTAAATAATTAAAAAATTATTCTGAGACTTTTTTGTATAACACAAATATGCACACACACCCATATATATTTCTATCTCAGGAATCACTGTTGTTCTTGACATGTTACCAAAAAAAAGAAATTGAGTACAAAAACATGCTCATAAATAATTTTTCACTTGAAACTGAAATAAACAGATATATATTAATCAGCTATGAACTTTCAACAGGCTCCCATTAGCCAGATGTGACAAGGTAATTAAACAGAGCAGAAAGATGAGTGCTCAGGACAGACCACAAGCAATAAGACATACAGTGAGTACTATTTAAAACAGAAAATGCCATAATGGAAGGTTTTTTCTTAAAAAACAAACAAACAAACATGACATTCAGTAAAAGAGAACACTTATTAGGATCTCAATCTTGAATAAGGGTTAAAGTTATACTTTAAACACAGTAATATATTTGACCCTCATAATTCAAAATATCGTAATTCATAGATGATTAGGTAGGACTAGTAAAACTAATAATTGCAATGACACTGGATATCATGTTATAGTCAGCCAATTATGCCCAAAGTACATGTTTTCTGCATGTTTCTGCACATGTTTTCTTAGTCTTCACAGTCAGTGATGATGAGGAGGAATTAAAAAAAAAACAAACCCTGTTATCCCTACAGACATGAACTGAAGATTATGTAACTTGTCCATGGTTCTGGTCAGTAAATGACAGAGCAGAGATCTGAATCCAGAATTGTTATGACTTCAAAAACCAATATTCTTTCCAGGCAGAACATCAGGACACTGAACTAAATGACCCTACAGATGCCTTGTGTATCTAGGATCTAAAATTCTTTCCTAGTGGGTGAATACAGCTGTGGGTATTAAGCTCCAAGCCCCTGCCCCTTTCAGCAACTCTCCAGGCCTACCCACTCGCTTCAGAGAATAAAGCAAGAAAGGAAGAAATAGAAAGGAGGGAAGAGTTAAATCTTTCAGATACAAAGGGGTGACCTGCAAATAATGATGAGCTCTAAGAAAGTGAGAGCTCAAGGAAAGGAAAGAACTTAGACTGGCCATTAGAGAAGAATTTCCTGACAATAAGCATTGAAACACTGGAACTCATTATCCGAGAACATTATGGAGGATAAACCAAAGAAAATACAGCCTCGTGAAGGGCTGTCAACACACAAATAGTGTCAACATACACACAAGATGGGTAAGTACAAATATAGCCTACTTGGCTCAGTCTCACTTATAGCTTAAAATAGAAAAGAAAAAATGAAAAGTGGTAAAATAAGCCCAAGAGCAGCAGTCAGGAGATCACACTACGATTCTGCCAGCCTGAATTAAGTTAGCAAAATGCTAACCCAAATATTTGTGCCTCATTTCTCGGAGGACTCATCAATGCACAGGTACTGTTTTATACTTTCCTTCAATTCATTATCCATTAAGAAACAACATTTATTTCCTCTGCAGAGTCATATTCATACTGGTAAAATAAAACCCAAGTTTTGTTAATTTCTTAAGTACGTGTCGGGAGAACTCTAAATGAAAAATAACATCAAGATAACTTCCTTCTGGGGTTAAAAACAAAAGGGAAAAAACCCCACACAAACCTGGTGGCACTGTTAAGACTAGCGGAGTTGTATTTGTGTCATGGCTATATCCCTCCTCTCACCCACAGGCAAAGGCTCAGAGTCGAGTGCCCTAGGACAGCCAGCGATCTTCAATGGTGCGTCACAAGACTAAAAGACGCAACTCCTGACTATTTAGTCAGGGCACTGACCGCTTCCCTTGGACTGTCAAATAAAAAGATGATGGAGGCCAACACAAAAGGAGCCATGTGGTGTGAATAATCAAAATTATACCTATTTGTTTTGTCAGATCAGCAAAAAATACGTATGTTTTGGTGTGCCACAGAATTTTAGGAATTAGTTTGTGTGTGCCATGAGGTGAAAAGGGTTGAAAATCACTGCCTTAGGAAGCTGCAGGGTTCTAACAATTTCGCTTCTCCCTTTCGATGTCAGCTGAATTTTGATGTGAACCTTTTCTAATCTGTAAAAAAAGGGAAGTCTACAGGTTCCTGGTAGCAACAGGATTCTCTTTACTCTCATTATGAAAACAAACATTTCTTTTAGGGTAATTACGGATTATCAGGAAAGGGAGGGATTTTTCCACTAAAAATAAATAGACTCAAGTAAGCCAAGTTACTGCTTCTGTATTCTTTCCTGTTTTTCTCTGCCGTCACCGCCACCCTAGAGAGATGGAGTGTGTCAGCCTCTGGTCCCACCTACACCTGCTCCTTTCACCCAAACCAGAAAAGACTTCTGACCATGAATAATTTACCTCTAATACACCCCATGGAAACAGAGCAGTAGAGCTTAAGTCCTTGTTTCTAGGAGACTTAAAAATCTAGGGCAGACCTACCTTGTGAGTAGAGAAGGATCTGCATCTCTAAAAGAACACAGGTGAACACCTGCACCAGGTTCTCCAATCCCAGGAGCTCGAAGGCCTCTCGAAGAGGATAATCGGAGAGGGGGAGTTCACTGGGCCCAGGCCTCTGGCAGATGATGGGTTCGTAAACACCATAAAATTTCAGTGATCTCCCTGGAGGTGGAAGGGGCACTTCATAGAGAATATTATGGATGTAGCTCTCCAGTGGCAAGGGCGGTGGCTGCTGTGAGGTAACTGCCTTGTAAAGCTGGATAAGGAATTTCTTGCAGGCCTGCATGAAGGGCAGTGGTGTGATCAAACATATACTTTTGGAAACATACAGGGTATCCCTGCTGATGTCATAGGAGTTGTATCGCTGGAGTTTCAAAAGGGAAGTTGTGTCTCCCTCGTCGATGCTGCTCGCCAGTGAGTCCATGCTGCAGGAGGAGGAGGCACAGACGCTGCTGTAATGCTCTGCATTGTGCATCTGGTAGAGCGTCTGCATGGCCGTGCAGATCTGCTTACTTGTAACTTCTTCATAAAAAGTGAGAACAAAACCGTAGGTACGAGAACCATCTTCCCGAGTAATTATAAATGAGTGGAACTGAGGGTCTCTACTGTCAGTTTGTGTTCTGAAAGACAGCCCTTTCGGCATGCACAGCTGTGGAGGAAGAGGGGGAAAAGCATCAGAATGCAGTCTACCACGAATAACTTCAAACCAGAAAAAATGCTTGTGAACCTCTATCCAAGCTTGTGATCTTCAGCAAGTCACCTAACTTCTCTGAGCCCCAGTTTCTTCATCTCCAGTATTTGCTACATCAGTGACTTGACGACAACATATGCAAGGGCACTTGACAAATATTTAATATTTAAGTACTATTTTTGGAGTTATGTGATGTTTCAAAAGAATAGGGAAATAGGTAAGGGCTTATTTGATAAATAGAAAAAAGTTAAATACAAAATAATATGTTATTTTCTCTATTTTGGGCAATATGATACTTCTTCATCCTTGAAAAATAAACCAAAAGTGGAATGATTTTTGATTTACTGAAGCAGAAGAGTAGAAACCAGACATTTTAGATTATTTTCAGTAGACTCAGGGGTGCTCAACCTTTTGGCATCTCTGGGCTACATGGAAAGAAGAGTCATCTTGGGCCACACATTAAAAACACTGCGACAAGTAATCACAAAAAAAATTTCAATGGTTTAAGTAAATTTACGATTTTGCGTTGGGCTGCATCCATTGCCATCCTGAGCTGCACGTGGCCTGCAGGCCGCAGGCTGGACACCCACACAAGATCTGGGGAACTGGCTAGGATTCAGTCAAGTTTGGGAATAAAATTACTTGAGGAGTTAAAGATGTTATATTTAAGACACTTAAAATGCATTAAAAATTAGAATTGATTCTTTGAGACTTTTATAAAAATAGTTTAAAAGAAAACAAATTCCAGAAAATTTGAAATATACTAACAGAAACAAAATTTATAATTCAACTACCCTAACATGATCATTATTTTTATATATTCCTTTTTAATTTTATATTACAATATGCTTTCTGCACAGTAACAATTTTACCATGCATTATTACATTACACCCCCCCACCCCCGCCCCCAGAGTTGATCACTGATCTGGTGTAAAACTAAGAGGTTCTCCCAAATCCATCCCCACATTACCAAGAAAACACTTTACAATTTACCTTAAAAGTTACACACACTTTAATCAAACTGTACACTAATTGCTTTTATGAGCTAGGCCCTTGATGGCGACGCAGCTGAGACAGACAGACGTGGTCCTGGATCCTTTGGAGCTTCCAGTCCAGTAAGAATGACAGATGATTAAAAATTATAAACTATAAAATATTGGAAATACTATAATAGGGTAAATACAGGCTGTTATAAGAAAAACATAGCGTAAAAACATTCATGAGAGAAGGCGAGCTACCAGGAAAAAAAATGAAGAAAATCCAAGCAGCAAGCTGAGCAGAAGTGCAGGTCTTAGATGAGGAGAGGCAGAGAGGACATGTGCAAAGCCCAGGAGACAGAACACGAGGGCCGGAGGAAGAGCAACTCATCGCGGGTGGGGAACAGGATGTAAGGTGGAGGGAGGGGAGAGAGAATGCAGGAGAAATAATTAGGGGCTTGGTCACATAGGGCCTTGATGAGTCATGTCAGAAGTCTAAAGAGGAGGACGGTGGGAAGCCTCGGGAGGGTTTCTGGCAGGAGAGGGACAGAACCAGGCACGCCATTCAGCTTTATCAACCTTCCTGCACTGAAGGACAGTGGTCTTCGAAGGGGTCCCAAGGAGGCATCACAAATGCCTCAGGGCCTTGGAGTCCTCTTTGACTTCTCTCTCTCTTTTTTAATATTTTATTTATTTATTTATTTTAGAGAGGGAAGGGAGGGAGAAAGAGAGAGAGAGGGAGAGAGAGAGAGAGAAACATCAATGTGAGGTTACTGGGGGCCGTGGCCTGCAACCCAGGCATGTGCCCTGACTGGGAATCGAACCTGCAATGCTTTGGTTCACAGCCTGCGCTCAATCCACTGAGCTACGCCAGCCAATGCTTTGGCTTCTCTTTTTCTCCCTCATCCCATTATCTAACCCATCAGTTCTACCTTCAAAGGTATATTCAGAAACAAATGACTTCATTCTACCTTCATTCTTACCTCTCTAATCTAAGTCATACTCCTCTCTAGCGTGATAGCCAGTCTCCTGCTTTTGCCTTTGTTCCCCCTAATCTAGTCCCCCTGTGTACCAAAGGGACCCTTAAAAAATATAAGATAGATCTTGTCACCTTCTCAAAACCCTCCAATGGCCTCTCATCTCCCTAAAAGCTGAAATCACTCTTGCTCTACGCTAAACTCAGACTTGTTGAGCATAGTGCACGACACATACTATTTGTTGAATGAATGAATGAATGAATGAATGAACGAATGAACGAACAAGAAAACAAACAAAAATAAAAGCTGGGGGTTACAGGAGCAGACTAAATTCATCTCTTGATTCAGCCTGTAGTTATCTTTTCACATCCAGTGGGCAATAAAGAAACGATGACTCCAAAGTCAACATAAAGATTAAATTTAATCGATAGGCTTTCCTGACACCACAGACCACAAGATAACAACTTGAACTCTTTTTGAACAGCTGCCAAATAGTCCCTTAAGGGTTTGTAGCTTTCTTGAGCATGCACTCAAACATTTACAGGGAAGTCTTGCCAAAAGTTGTGTTCGAAGTAAAGAATGACTTTCTAGACTACAGACAGCAGATATAAGAATTCTTAAATTCTCTTCCTACCAGTCAAAAATAGTAAAACTTGTATTTCTAATCTGAGAACCATGGACTGGAAGATTGCTTTGTCATTTTCAGAAGTAAGAATTGTTCAATTAATCGCCAGGTTTACTTTTTAGAAAACCTACGGCATTCAACAATCTCTTGTGGCCCCTACTACTGCCATTCACTAACAACACCCACCCCCGCCTCCCCACACCTCTCTCTCACAACAAAACAACTGAAAACTCAGGAGTTATCAATGTGGACCAGGTCGCCACTGGTAAGCAGGTGACTTCAGACAAAGAGGCTCAGAATGCTGTGGACGTACGTCTTCTGGTCTGAGGGAGCAAATGTCCTTTACTGCCTCTCTGGACTCTTTCAGGAAGCCTGACCAGAAGTTTAATAATTCCTTTTTCCACTTTTCTAGTATTCTATGACTCCTATGCCCTCCTTTCATCACACAAATAAAAGAGAAATTACTCAGAAAACTCTCAAGGAGTTGATCAGTGTGCCTTCCTTCCTTCTCTTCCCTCCTTTCTTCCTTTAATCGACATTTGTTTTAGACCACATATTGCATTAGATCTTGGTAATGCAAAGACAAATATGAAAATAATCCTTACTTCAGAGAGCTCACAGTCTAATAGGAAAGACAGACATACAGGGTGGGACAAAAGTAGGTTTACAGTTGTCTGTATGGAAAATAATACAGTAATCAATAAGTAATAATACAAGAATAAACTGTTTCATGTACTCACAACTGTAAATCTGCTTTTGCCCCACCCTGTAAAAACCAATGGTGACAGAATGATGTGATCAATGCTGCTACGGGGTGTTTAAGACGTTGTAGAAATAGGGAAGAGAGAGCATCTACCTGCTGCTGGAGAGACGGCTTTGCAGTGGAGGCAACACCTAACTAGACAAGGATGGGGAAGGAAAGCACTGCGGTCTTGCAAACAGGTAAACGATCCTTCACATATTCAATGATTTGAACCTCTACTATATGCAAAGTCAGGGACATAGCCGTGAGCTCCTGCCCTGGTGGTGCCTACATTATAGTAGGAGAGACAGAGTGGACAACTAAATACATAATTAACTAACTACATTTGTGATAAATGCTACAAAAGGTGCGAGGTGGTAAGAGAACCTAAAGGAACCTGACTGAACGTTGAAAGGGTGGTAGAAGGTGGTAGTCAGGAATGGCTTTTTTGAGGAAAGCATGTTTAAAATGAAATCTGAAGGATCAGAAAGAAGAATTCACTATGTGAAGAAGAGCCTCCCAAGAGAAGCAACAGCACAGGCAGAAGCTGCAGTGTAAGGAGTGGGAAGGACAGGAGCAGGAGGCCAGCCGGACAGTTTCTGTACAAGAGCCCGGGTGAGAGAGCATGGTGTCTGGACTATGATGGGTGTGTGGAAAGGGAGAGAAGTAGACAGATAACTAACTGTGTCAGGGAAGGGTGAGAAAGTGAGAGCTTTCATAGAAGACACTACAGTTCTGACTCAGGCAACCACATAAGATGGTTATACTGACCACGGTCGGTGGAAAGATTGTGAACTCAGCTTGGACATGCTGAGTTTGAGATGCCAATGTGATAGTCTAGCTGTAATGTTCAGAAAACAAGTGGGCTTCCCCAGTAATGACTGGATTAGAATCCCATTCCTATGATTTTATAGTGAGACATAAACTTGGGTCAAAAATCAGTGCTTACTCTCATTTCAATGTCAAGCCTATTAATGTAACTAAGGAATGTAATATTTCAAATTCCTGCCATGTGTGAAGTACATATAGCACCTTTTTCCTTTGAATCTTACAAGATGGGCCTCTGAATAGGCATTCTCCAGCCAATGCTTTACCCTTTACTCTTTGCTTATCATTCCATTCCACCCTTCTTCATGATCAAAGTAAAAAGTAAATTGTAAACTTACAGCTTTATAGATTGTAAAGAGCTGTATAATAGTTATTGCTCTTTTAATTCCTGGAAACACCACATATCAGGTATTTCATTTAGGACAGACATACAAAACAAACCTTGCTTAAAAGGTAGTGGCCATATTTTCTTCCTGCCAACTCCCAAGTTTACTACATTCCTAAGAATAAGATTATCTATCAGAGCGTTACATAAACAGCCGTGGATGCCAAGGTACATTCTCAAAGAGATCTGAAATGGAGCCGAAAGCAGGGAAACTTCAGCTCTATTTGCAATATTTTGTTTCCTTTAAGAGGAAAGGTATGGATCTGAAGCAATTTGTCAATGGTGACATATGTTAGTTCTAGGTGGGTATAAGATTGTTTGTTGTATTATTCTCTGTTTTATAATACGATTTTTTCCCATAAAAAACTCTGAATCAGTAACCAAGAGATATAAAAAGCAATTAATTCACAAATAATTTCACCTGTCACTTTTATCTATTTTCTATTATATTTGCATTGCACTCATACACATGGAATTTTTTTATTTCATAAAGTTCACTGCTTTGGGGTACTGTTTCTGTGTGAAATTAATGACTTTTATTTCAAAGTCCCACTGTTGCTTTTTAGAGGAATGACTGGTATTACAGAAGGTGGTGACTTGTTGGAATGGGGTTTTGCTAACAGCAAGAACAAAGCTTTATACCTTTAGGTGGGAATAAATTATAGCTTCATACAAATGCACTTACAATAAATCAAAGAGGAAATTAAGGGCAGTAAATCTATGACCCAAATGCAGACTAATTTGATGGGATGCTTTTTAGAGATTTTTCAAGGACTGCCAGAAAATCCTTTTAGATTTGCAGCAATAAACGAAATGCTGTGCCGTGCTTCACCATCAAAACACATGCCTATGTGAGGCAAGGGGTAAAGAAAATATCAAAGACAGAGCAAGAAAATGGAAACTAACTTTAAAAAGGAATGTTCTGCAGATGGAGGCACAAGCTATCATAAATATCATACTTTTTAAAGCCATTCAAATGGTTAAAAGAAAGAAAACACATGGAGTGTGGTACTTGGTTCCAAATGTCAGTGGGTTCACATTATTGTTCAGACCCTCATTTTGGACACCATTCTGATTCCTCACAGAATGATTTATACTTCAAAATATCTTACTAATTTAAGAGGATTAAGTGTTAAAATCTACTTGCATTCCCATCCATTTTCCCACTGCTTCATTTTGACACTATTTTCTTTAATAGTTTTCCTTTAATTTGCTGTGTTAAGCAGCTGATAAATTATTTTTTTATCACTGCTGTGTGTTGACTATTTTAGTCAGAAACTTGTCTGTGTTTCTCTAAATCTCATGAATATAACAGTTGTGTTCTACTTACTACCTGTGGTTTTGTCTTCGAAGGTGAGGCGGGGCTCCACAGTATTAACTTCCAGCAAAACGGCATCTCTGATCACTTTGGTGTTGGGAGGCGGTTCAGAGAAGTAACTACCCTGTGCTCTGCACTGGATCAAAGTCAAGGTGCCAAGTGGCTTAGGCATCTCCCCTTAGAAAAGTTAACACACTATTTCCTCGCTGGTGCACAGGTTTACTGTGGTATAGGAATACCAGTGGATCAAGATGGAGGCGTAGGTAAACATGGCTCACCTGCTCGCACAACCACAGCAAAAATTACAGCTAAACTACAAAACAACTATCACCCACAATAATCAGGAAATCGATCTGTATGGAAGTCCAACAACCAAGGAATTAAAGTACTCACACTCATCAAGATGGGCAGGAAGGGCAGAGACATGGAGTCATAATGAGTGCTCCCTCACCCACATGTGGTGGATAAAAATCACGAGGGGCACCTCGAGAGCAAGGGATCCAGCCCAGGGTTCCAGTGCCAGGAAGATAAGTCCCCATAATTCCTGGCTGTAAAATTCAGTGGTGGTTGGGGCAGCAGAAGAAAATGCAGGATTCTTAGGTGTCTCCTCTTAAAGGGCCCACAATGGACTTAAGACTTCTGCAGACTAATTCCTTTGGGGATCTAGCACCCGTGCAGTAGCTGGAAGGGCACCAGTGACACATGGGGAGAAACTGAAGTGTCTGGCACCAGGGCAAGTGCTGGGGGACAGCTTCCTCCCAGACAAAACTCCAGCAGCCAGGCAGCGGCCATTGTCCCTTTTCTGAGCCCTCTCTGACACAGAGCCACAGAATGGCAACACCATATCTGAGATTCCATCAACCTGGTTCACACAGGTTGCCCCACCTAAGGAATTATCTAAGGCTCTGCCCTATCCAAGTAAGGGGTGTGCTTTTTTGCAATAGGCCATGCTACTAAGACAGGGAGTCAAAGCTGCTCTACCTAACACATAGAAACAAACACAGGGAAGCTGCCAAAATGAGGAGACAAAGAAATATGGCCCAAATAAAACTCCAGAAAAAGAACTAACCAAAATAGAGATAAGGAGTCTATTAGACACAGAGTTCAAAATACTGGTTATTAGGATGCTCCAGGAACTCACTAATTCAATGGCATAAAAAGACCCAGGCAGAAATGAAGGTTACACTGAGTGAAATAAAGAAAAATTCAAAGGGAATCAACAGTAAACTGGATGAAGCCAAGAATCAAATCAATGATTTGGAACACAGGGAGGAAAAAAACATTCAATCAGAACAGCAAGAAGAAAAAAAAAATCCAAAAGAGAGAGAAAGAAGACAGACAAAGGAGCCTCTGGGCCAACTTCAAATGTATCAACATTCTAATCATAGGGGTGCCAGAAGAAGAGAAAGCCCAAGAGATTGGAAATCTATTTGAAAAAATAATGACAGAAAACACCCCCATCTTGGTGAAGGAAATAGACATACAAGTCCAGGAAGCACAGAGTCCCAAATAAGACAGACACAAAGAGGACCATTCCAAGACACATCATAATTAAAATGCCAAAGGTTAAGATAAAGAGAGAATCTTAAAAGCAGCAAGAGAAAAGCAGAGTTACCTACAAAGGAGTTCCCATAAGGCTGTCAGCTGATTTCTCTAGAGAAACTTTGCAGGCTACAAGGGACTGGCAAAGAGTATTCAAAGAGATGAAAAACAAGGACCTACAACCTGGATTACAGTATCCAACAAAGCTATCATTTGGAATGGAAGGACAGGTAAAGTGCTTCCCAGACAAGGTAAAGCTAAAGGAGTTCATCATCACAAAGCCCTTATTATATGAAATGTTAAAGGGATTTACTTTAGAAAAAGAAGATCAAAACGGTGAGCATTAAAATGGCAATAAATTCATAATTATCAACAATTGAATCTAAAAAACTAAGCAAATAAGCAGAAGAGAAACAGAATCATAGATATGGAGATCATTTGCAGGGTTATCAGTTGGGAGGGGGAAGGGGAGAATGGGTGGAAAGGTACAGGGGACTAAGAAGTACAAATGGGTAGTTACAGAATAGGCAGGGGGATGTTAAGAACAGTGCAAGAAATGGAGAAGCCAAAGAGTTTACATGCGTGATCCACAGATATGAACTAATGGAGGGGAGTGCTGGAGGGAAGGGGGGTACTGGGTGGAGAGGGGGCAAAAGGGGAAAAATTGGGACAACTATAATAGCATAATCAATTAAATGTATTTTTTAAAAAAGAAATACCAAAAAGGTACAATGTTATCCATACCATTTTGGTGCAAGTCAAAACTTTTCTTTGGGGGAGATAGCATGCCGGTAGGCCAAAAAGTGAGCTAGAGGGGAAAATGGTCTGAATCTAACCTCTGAGACTCCCTGCACAACTCTGCACAAGCAACTTACCCTCTATAAAATGAGTTAAGAGTACTCACTGGGTACATGTGAGCATGTATGTGAATGGAACAGCCATGAGGTATCTAGCAGGCATCCATACTGATCAGTCTTAGTCCAACTTTAATTGTTTCTGTACCGATCATTCCTGATCTCTAATTTGCTCACTTTGGGGCCCCTTATTTTTATAATGATGGAGTTCATTAGGTCCAAAATATTATTCAGGCTTCTAAACAGGACCCTCCCTAAATGATCTGAAAACATGACCTACTTATGCCCAAGAATCTCTAAAGGACTTACAATCACTACTGGTAATTCATTACATTAATTCAAATTTCTTATAAATAAATCCCTACTGCCTAAATGCTATACTTGACTTCCTTTTCCTATTTGTGACTATGATAAATTACAGACCCATCATACAACATTCCTTGAAATATGAAAACTATAATCATACTCCTTCCACCAGGATTCTTTCCAGGAAAACAAAGTAATATCACTGTTTATCAAAGCCATCTGTGTATTAATTAATACAAACTCACAACACAGCTTAATAGTAGGAAAAGAAATGAGCTTAGAGGGCCTGTTGTATATGCTTATTTGCCATGCGGGCCATAGGCAAGTCACTAAAACTTTCTGAGTTTCAGCTTTTACATCTGTAAATGAGGATACACTCGTATAAAACTATAAAGGATTAAATTAAATGAAATAATGCAGGAAACTCAAAATAGTCACTATTATCATCATCTTAAGAAAATAGAAAGAAGACTAAGGAGGAAAAGAAAAACACATACCATGTTCACTGCATCTTGATCAAAAGGGTTCCATTCTATATTCTGAGGATAGTGGGCCAGAACCTTGGATTTGAATGTTCTTCTCAAAGGACTCTGGTCAAAGTTTTCACCTATAACAAATAATTAACAGTTAGTTAATATCTGGATTTTTTTCGAAAGCACATCATAGTTTTATTTTTATTTTGTAGCTACATTAGTTGATAATGTTGAAATCTAATTCGACTTCTACCTCTAACAGTCTACACTGTAAAATTTTCAACAGACAACAGAAAAAGAACTGTTTATTAAGAGGTCTGCATTTAAGAATTTAGAATTTGAACTTTACCTGGCTAAGAGAACCAATACTAAAAATCAGATATGATAAAATAATCCTTGCTGTAACCTAATTTTATTGTCCTCACTCCGATATGTGGTGATAAAAATATCTACTTGGGAACATTTATTTCATTAAAGAAGCATCCTGAATTAAGCTGATCACACCTCTTGTGATCCCAAAATTTTGTACATGGTACCATGCTCAAAGGAGGCAATGGGCTTAAATTTTCACAGAACTCCCTGATAAATGTGACTGCACCTCCAAGCTTTTACCAGTAACAGAATTAACAGAATTGGAAACATCATGACTGAGCTGTCTGGTTTAGTAAACAAAACACATTAAACACACGAAACTCTGAAAAGAAACCATGTATTCCAAGCCAAATTCATAACTTGTCAAAATGTGGAAAGGAGAGTAGGCTACACTTTATTATATATAAGAAAATTTTAATAATAGCTGTCAGCTCAGCTCTTTATCTCCTTGACCAAATTAACCGTCATGAGACCTGTTACCTACAAAAGCTTTAGTTTCATAAAATATTTTAATGTGGATGGATCTTAAATTCTCAATGCCAGAAAGTTGAGGTTAAGGAATTAGAAGACCTTGGAGCAAAATTATTCTGTCTACTGTGTTTTTTGTATTTTTTAAGCTTACTTTTTAAGTGGCAAACATGACCTATTATATCAAAAGATATATCTGCCATTTACCAGTATTTATTTGTACAAGTAAAAATATCTTAAAGCAATTTATGAGTCACATTTGGACATATAGTCAGACTCAGTTTCCATTTTTTTGGTAAAAATACAAAAAGATGAATATTAAAACATCTTTTAAGTACAAAACTTAACAAATCACAGAAGGAGGGAAAAAATCATACTCTAAAGTCTTGCTGGAGACTGCAATATAAAATACACAGGAACTTTTTTGAATAAAGGGACATTATTTAAATAGATTTGCTGTAAGTAACCTACTGTTTCTAATTTAAACCCTTGGCTAAGGATCACTTTCCTTTGGGTTCCTCTTACTTGTTTCGGCAAGCATTTCATCTCTGTACCTTTCTACCCCAGACTTCCATCTTCTGAGAGATGGGGAGCTTTCACTTCTAGAAGAAAAATGCCAAAGGCATCCCTAGAGAATGTTCATCACTTTTTGCACAATGCTTCCAGGGTGTGTAAACATCAAAAAGTCAGTGGAAAAACGTGAAGCTGACCGTGAATTAATGTGTCTGAAGAAAAGAGTTGGGGTTCAGAATGGTTCATTTCAAGAAGGGTGAATGACATCTTTAGGCTCATACTGGGTTCTCATGCAAACACTAAGATTTTTAGATTGGTCACATCTTCATTAAAAAGAAAATGTTTACTTTTTACTTCACTACAAGCCAGAGGAAAAAAAATTTTAAAAACCTCCCTCCTGGTTCTAAAGGTCCATCTGCTGTCCTTTATGGACACGGCAACAGGACATCCTCAGAAAACACACAGCCGTCAAGAAACCCCTTCACCCACCCTCAAACACCCAAAATGCGTGCGTTTATTATCCAGAAATGTAAATAAAATATGAAACACCATGGGGCAGAAGAAACAGCACATACACAGGATATAAAACTCCTGGATACACTTACCTTTTAATGAACTCCTGCCTGAGTTCGGTTAAAATAGTAACAGTATCTTCATTCATACATCAAGTTATTAATGGGACAGGAGATAAATCAGAAAATTCATGACAGTGCCATTTTCAATATAATTGTTCTCTTAACTAAGGAATACCACACCCTCTTGAGGCCCAATTAGTCACCAGAAGAGAAAGAAAACCACCTTCAGAGAGAAAAAAATTTCACAAAAACAGCACCCGAAAAAGCCCATGACACAGAAACACAAATCTAACAAAAGGAAAACAGAACCACCACCGCTTCTGATTAGACTGCTGAAAAGGGGGCAGAGGGCGAGCCGCAACAGGAAAGATCATTGCTATACACACAGCTGTCTTGGCAAATATTATTTTGAAGGAAATTAGGGGAAGAAACAACCATGTAGAGATTGCAGTAACACTGTTAGGGATTTAAAAATGAGTGGATGCAGCTACTCCGACTGGTACATGCCAGAGAACTGGAGATGCGAGATGGGCAAACAACCTTATTTTCTCATTTTGAGCCCATGTTTCATAAACCTCTCACTCAGACTAGGACTTAGCAGGTGATTTAAATCAGTTTAAGAATCTGGATTCCCAGGAATTGGAAATTATATATAAGCATCCTTTACTTAACTTAAAATTCATCTTTCAAACACTATCCTGAAAAGAACAAGGATTATAAATTTGTGCAAATATTAATATCCCCCACTACAACTACACTAGAGTTAATTTCAAGTAATACTGTCAAGTAACCTCCCACTAAATCTAAGCTGCAATGAAGTCTTGCCTTTTAAGAAAATAGGACATATCTGCCAAGAGAGCTTAAAGAAAGGCTCATGAATAATTTTTTTCAAGGCTTGAAGCAAATGCTGTCTTTAGGAAAATTAAAATGCACATGAGAGAACAGAAACACAAAACAATACCTATATTTTGCCTGAGCAAAGCTGAATAAAGAAACAATTATGATGGGCGTGGGTGAATTAGAATAATGATTTCTAACACCTCGACTTTTTGTTGTTACCTGAGGTCGTATTTGCAGCACCTTGGCTCTTGCCATGACGATCTGCTTCTAGCCATTGGTACAAAACTACATAATGTAACAGAAACAAAAAAGCTTTATGAACAAATAAACAAACAAAAAAGCAAAAAATTGACTTTGAAGAATGGAAAATGAGAATAAAAAGTTAAACAAAAGCAATTAAACATGAGACATTACCATCACTGGAATGTAACACCAATAGCAGGCAGCTTACAAGCTATGAGCAATAAGAAAGCCAAGAGAATGGGTTACGTATTTTACTGTAGTAAGTGAAATGTTATTCAAATATTGCAACAGTTATTTAATGGGGGCAAAGCACACACATTCTTAATGCTAATTTGAAGAGAAATATCAGGAGAAAGCTAAAGTTTCTATAGTCGGATATAACACAATGATAGTAAGACTAAATTAAACAATTATATCCCAACCTATCAGAATGTCTGAAGTCCAGAAAAACCAACTCCCTGGTAAGTATGCAAGTGACAGAACTCTCATCAATTGCTGGTGGAAATGCAAAATGGTATAAACACTTTGGAAGACAGTTTGGCAATTTCTTACAAGGCTAAACATAGTCTCATCATATGATTTTTACAGCCCCAGTACAATCTGGAGAAAAACATCAGACAGATTCCAAGAGGAGGAATCTACAATGCACCTCATGAATACTTGTCGAAATTGTCATGGTCATCAACAACAAGGGGAGTCTGGGAAACTGTCACAGCCAAGAGGAGCCAAAGGAGACGTGACAACCGAACGCATGTAAGTGGTGTATCAGATGGGATCCTCCAATCAGCAAAGGACATAAAATAAGCAGAGAAAGAACATAAAGCAACCATGAAGGACATCTGAATAGAGTACAGACTTTAGTTAACAAAAATGTATCAAAAATCATCCATTAATTGTAATACGTATCAGGCTGCTGGAAGATGTTAATGGATAAGGAAAACTATATGTGTGGATGGTGCTGGGTGATCATGGGAACACTGTATTATCTTCTCCATGTTTCTGTTCATCTAAGACTGCTCTAAAAATTACATTCCAATATTATAAATAGTCTACCTTTTGTAAATTACTGTGCAAGCACAAGCTGAAGTTTGCTCTACATCAAGACTCTACTTAATCAACTATCCTCAAGCATTATTATGTTTTAAAAATTTTTTAGAGAGAGGGGAAGGGAGGGAGAACAAGTGGGAGAGAAGTTGGTTGCCTCTTGCCTGTCCCCAACTGGGAGCCTGATTTATAACCCAGGCATGCGTCCTGACTGGGAATTGAACCAGTGACCTTTTCGTTCACAGGCTGGTGCTCAACCCATTGAGACACACCATCCAGGGCTAACAACTTAAGCATTGTCAGCTAACAAGTGCCAGCGTTTGGAGGAAAGTTTATTATAGTGAAGACCAGGCTACTAAAAAATTCACACAAGAGCTCTGTAGCTTAGCGGCACTGATTAGTGTTAAAACTTCTGGATGTCTTTTATGGGTTTCCTAAATATCTACAACTTTCACACATCTTTAAAGAGATGTCAGCCGTGGCTAGTGTGGCTCAGTGGACAGAGTGCTGGCCTGCACATCAAAGGCTTGCTGACTGCATTCCCAGTCAGGGCACATGCCTGGGCTGCAGGCCACGACCCCAGCTGGGGGTGTATGAGAAACAACTGATCGATGTATCTCTTGCATGTTTCTCTCCCTCTCTTCCTTACTCCCTTCCCCTCTCTCTAAAAACAAATTTAAAAATATTTCAAAAACAGAGAGAGAGAGAGAGAGTGAGATGTCAGAGTCTCCTTTAAAGAATCAAATAGCCATAATACAGGGTCCTAATGGCCAAGGAAAGTTGCCTATAGAACTCTTAAACTGATGGAATAAAGAAACTGATTCATTATAAATGACTAAAAGCACCTTGAAATCACCAAGTAAGTTATTTGGATTTTTAGGGACAGCCAGGACTGTGAACTGACGGCCATCATCAGAGACAGAGGCCCAAAGCAGACCTCTGAACAGCCTCCCACACGTGCAGTGTGTAATGTCCCTGGCTAGGGCTGCCCCAGTGGGCACACGAGTCAGTACGCACCTCCAGGACACTGCACACTTCAGGGAGGCAAACAATCGTTACAGTTTGCACTAGCATGAAAGAATTCAAGAAGGAGACCACACTCATTAAATATACAGTACAGTATTTCCGCTTTCTAGTTTGCATGAGTAACAACTACTCACTAGAGTAGCAGCAGAGTGGAGTAGTATTAGAACATGACTCCGAAATGTCCCCATCTGGAAAAGCAAGCACCAACTTTACAAATGATGCTAAATATCACTCTCACAAAAATGAGACACAAGTAGGGAAACTAATCCACTAACTGGTCTAACAATTCTGCTGAGCTCTTATCTAAAGTCTGCCCTGTCCTGACGAAGGTGAACACTCTTGGCTGTGTTCAGGGTATTCCTAGGAATATTTACCAGTACAGTTCCAAGTACTTCGAAGAGTGTTTGTTTCTGATTTCATCAGAGAAGAAAGCAAATGTAAGTCACTCCAGGTCAATTTACTCCGACCAGTTACACAGAGAACTGTACATAAGCAATGGTGCTAAAACACAGGGAACACAGCTCTGGTCACGGTGGCTGGGAGCATGAGATCTGGCCTCGTGCCTCCTCCATGCTTCCTCTCAATTGGCACTGGGACTAAGGACCCCACCCCAGCTCCAAGCCACTGTTAAGGATCTCTACAGCCTGTGCATGAGGTTTCGGGTAGAGGGGAATTGGTGAGATTTGTGAGCCTTGGAGCAATTTCTCAGCCTAGGAGGCCCTGTTAAATATTTCTTCACTGATCTCCTCTCTGAGCCTCTTCACTCCAGGGACCCACCTGAGTTCTCTCCCTCACTATCCACTTCCACCACAGACTACTTCTGACCAGGGTGTTTCTCTGCAAAACAAGCCAAGTCCACAGTATTTCCCCATCTCCTGTGGCTGACAGACACCACCGAAGTCTAGGTGTTTTAAAGAAAGTTTGCTGATAGGAACAATGAAAACAGATGGAAAGTTTTAAAAGGTAATTAATCTCTTCTGCTCTGTCCCTTTTACGTTTTGTTCCTTTTCTCTCTAAAAGGAAAGTTAAAACACGCAATACAACACCACACACACACACACACACACACACACACACACAGGTACTAAATGGACACAGTATTCAGAGAAAAAAAGTCTTCCTCAGCACTTTGATAAAGGTGAGGGGAGGAAATGGAGAACTCTGGATGTTGCCCATGAAGTCCTCGCTGAGGAAAAGGAAAAGGAAGGATGCACATGGTGGTGAAGTAACTCCTCTCTCTCCCAAGTCCATCCCCACAGGTTTCTGTCTCCAAAGACTCAGCCTGAACTGGCAGGAGCTGCAGCTGGGAGAGGAACTACTACTGGGCAGCAGGCAGCCCTGTAAAACAGGCTGAACAGGGAAAGAGAGAGCGGTGGGCCGGGGGTGTAGCTATAGGTTAGAAACTAAAAGGAGGGGCACGGCTGTGATGTTCGCCTGTGCACAGGGACTGTGTTTCCATCACAGTGAGCTGTCCTCTTCAAAGCACATCCCCCTAAGAGGCACAGTTATCATTTATTCTGATGACTCCACCACTACTTAAATCATCTCTGAGCAGGTGGCATATAAGTAGAGAACTGACGAAGTAATAATTATCATCACAGCTAACACACAGAAATTACTATACGGCGGTGTTAGTCTGAGTGCTTTACATATATCAACCCATTTCATCCTCATAATCACTCTAGAACTAGGTACTATTATTATTCTTGGACATGGAAACTGAACCACAATAAGGTTAACTACCTTGTCCAAGGTTAGACAACTAGAAAACTCAAACCTAAGCAGCCTGATTCCAGAGTTTGTGCTCGTAATTCTATGTATGAGGTTATCTCAGGAAAGAGTATTTCAGGCAGAGGAAGTAGCAAGTGCAGAATCCCTGAGGCAGAAAAGAGCCTGTCACAGCTGAGATTCAGCAAGGAGGCCAGCACACTGCTGTATCTGGGTGAGGTGGCAGAAGATGAGGCTGGAGAGGTAACCAGGGGCCAGATAAAACAGGTCGCCTTGTACGCAATGGTAAGAACTTTCGACTTTATGCTAAGTTGTCATGGGAAGTAACTGGAGCATTTTAAACAGAACAGACTGTAGTGGGTAAGAGTGAAATCAAAGAAACCAATGAGGAAGCCTCTGCAATAATCTAGGCAAGAGATGATGGCAGTATGGATTAGGGAAACAGAGTTAGGGTGGTGAGAAGTAATAAGATTCTAAATCATTTTGAAGGCATAAAAGAGATGATTTGCTGACAGTTTAGGTGTAGAGAAAGAAGCTGTCAAGAAGGATGTAATTTTGGTGTGAGCATTGGATAAACGGTGTAACTATTCACTGAAAAGAGGAACAATGGAAGAGGAGGGGGTTTAGGGGTGGGAGGTCAGGGGCTGGAATAGGAATTCAGTTTTGAATATGTTAAGTCTGAGATGCCTATTAGATATCCAAGTGAAAAAATAATTTTTTAAAGAGAGGGAGAGAAATATAAGTGTGTGGTTGCCTCTCACATTGCCCCTACTGGGGATGTGACCCACAACCCAGGCCTGTGCCCTGACCTAGAATGAACCGGCAACCCTTTGGTTCACAGCCCACACTCCATCCACTGAGCTACACCAGCCAGGGCTCCGAGTAAAATTTTTGAGTAAGCATTTAGATACATGAATTTAAAATTTAGAGGGGCCCTAACCAGTACGGCTCAGTTGGTTGGGCATTGTCCTTCAAAGCAAAAAGTCATGGGTCTGATTCCCAGTCGGGGCACAAATGAGAGGCAAACATTTGATGTTTCTCACATGAATGTTTTTCTCCCTCTCATTCTTCAGTCCTTCCCCCCCCTAAAAATAAATAAGATGTTTAAAATTCGGGGGTAAAGTCAGAAATTCAGGGGTGAATATCACGTAGATGGTATTTAACATCACAGGGTGGGATAAGATCACCTAGTTAATGAACACAGATGAAGACAGGAAGGCCGGTCGGAGTCCTAAGGAGACTCA